CGAGGGGGCCCTGGGAGGCTCCCGGGGGAGCGGGCTGGCCACACCAGGAAGAAGCGCATGGCTAGAGGGTGGGAACTTTTTCAGGCCCATCCCCAGCCCGCAGGGAGGGGAGACTGGCTGAGACCCCAAGAAAGCTCTGGCCACTGAAGCTTCAGTGGGTGGTGAGCACGTGATGTTCTGCGGGAGCGACAGGCCCAGATGCCACGGGAAAGGGCCGGGAGGCTCTCTGCCCCTCCCCCCAGCCCTGGAACTATGCACCTCTCCCACTAGACGGCTCCCGACCCCATCCTCACGGTGAAGCTGGGAGCATGGTGCTTTCTGTGAGCCCTGCGAGCCCTGCTAGCGGGTTAGTGAATGAGGGGCCACGGGAACTCCCGCATGGAGAGCTGGCTGGTCAACGGTGCAGGTGAGCCTGGGGCTGGCTGGCTGGCACCGCCGACGGGCAGGCTGTGAGCGACTGTCCTTGTGTGGGGTCTGCCCATCTATTTATATAAAAACCCTGGGTGTAACGTCACAACCGAGGCTCAACCAACTGGAAGGAAGTCAGTCCTGCAGGGGTCATCTTGGAAACGGCTGCCCCCCCCCCCAAGCTGTTTCCCACAAGGGCAGTGAGCTTTAAGGCAGGAAACCGCCCTCAGTGCATGGCCATATTGAGTCCTGGGTCCTCTTAGCAACAGCTGCGCTCTCCCTGAACTGTTTCTGATAAGGGCAAGGTTTGAGGCAGGAACCAGCCCTCGGAGCGTGGCCACACTGAGTCCTGGGTCCTCTTAGCTACCGCTGTGCCCTCCCTGAGCTGAGCTGTTTCCTGGGAGGGCGAGGTTTGAGGCAGGAACCGGCCCTCGGAACACGGAGGCATATTTTTATAAAGTTTTAATACGTTATATTAGAGGTCGTGGTAGTACTGTTTTACCCATAGCATCTATAGGAATTGCTGCAAATTTACTTCTCGGTGGAAGCACCTTTCATTCCCAATATAAATTACCCATTCCACTAAATGCAACTTCAATTTCTAGACTTGCTA